CCGCCCTCGCCCCCGGCCCGCCGCCCTTTTCTCCTCGGAAGCCACCTCCACGCCCCCCCAGCGGCCATGGGCCCTGCCTGTCACCCTCGCCGTGCGCCCGGCGGGACCCCCGTCGGACCCAGGACCCGGCCTGGACACAGCGTCCATTCCCGCTGAGCCCGAAGGGGCCTCCACCCTTCCTAGCGGGTGTCGGGAGGCCGGGCTACTCCGAAACGGCGGCCTCAGCCCTTTCGTTGCCTTCTCCCGCCCTTTGCAGTGGATGGTCGTCCGGGTGGGGGGCCCGGGAGAGGACTTTACATCCCTCCTCCCTGTTTACGTGGATTTACGTGGACCTCTGCCTTGTGTCTGCCCTGTTAAACAACCTCATTGCAAACCACTAATTTTGAGAAGTAATTGTACTCGTTTGTGCAGTTCTGATATTCCTGCCGTGCTGTCCATGATAGTGCCCAGCGGGGCCTTACAACGGGCTCTTGAGTTGGTTTTGGCGTCCGTTTCCGGACCTTACCCCCGAGTTCAGAACCTATTGGAATGAGAAAGGTCTGTTCTTAGACGGAGCCCCTTTGGGCGCTTCCTGCCAGTCACCCGTGTAACAGCGGGGAGGATTAATCACTGTCCTTTAGTCACCCCTGGTGGGCTCAGATGTTGAGAAAGCCTCAGCTTAAGACCAAACATTCTGCAGTCTGGCAAGTGGCTTAATGAGCTGGGAAGCCATGTCCTCACTGGGTCCAGCGTTTGTTGACGTTACCTTCAGTTGCAGAAAGAGCTCCATTTGACCATCCTGGTTTCAAGCTTTAAAACAGTTCTTGGATCATCTTTTAAGATAAATAGCAGTTAAGGTTTCAAAAGAGAGGAGGTGTTTTTGTTAAACTTAGTATTTCAGAGAACTCAGGATTCTCACATCCAAAACCAGTTGCTGACGGGGGTTCCTTTTAAATCCAAGCCAAATAATTTACTTTTCACATTTTCTCTTCAGTGGTTGTGCAAACATTCCACTTTATTTGACATGGTGAGAACTCAGAGCAGGCTCCCCCATTTCTGACTTCTGTTGCCCGTGTCCTGTTGGTCAGAATGTGAGGGTGTCAGCAGGTGTGCCTGTCAGCCCTGCATACCAGCTCACACAGGGTTCTCCTGTGGCTGCTGTGAGACCTGGGTCTGCAAAGGGCTTTGTAAATTCAAACCCACCAGTTCATCTCTCCAAGTGTGTTTACCCACTTCTCCCTTTCACCCAAAGGAGTGGGCCAGGGGCCAGTCCTGGGCAGGACCGTGCATTTGTGTGTTTGTGCTCGAGACCTCGTCGTCTCCTGAGGACTGTCATGATCAGGGTCACACACAGCAGAGAACTCCAGGGCAGAAAGGAGCCTCTGGTGAACTCTGGTTTGTTTCCATCAATTATAGAAAACAAATTTATTTCTTAACTTCATCTGGCTTAGAAGTGAATTATAAGGAGCACTAGAGTTGTGGACTCCCAGGCTTAGGAGGAGGTTTGGTTGTGAGAGAGTCCGAGTTCCCCTCAGTGAGTAACTTAGATTGAAATTTAGTCGGAGATTCTTCTGGTCTTGTTTTACCTACACCTCAACATGAAGCTCCAACCACACTATCAACAGGAAGGCTGGTCTGAGCAGTCATCTACATGCAGCATTGAGGGGCAGAGAGGTATGAAAACACCCAGCACAGAGTGGGTGTGCAGCGTTACTAGTCACACTGTGGAGTCACACTGATAGTCCTTGAGTGCTCCACAGTGTGTGTTGCCATGTCAGGTAGAGGGGCAGCTCACAGGTTCCACTCATAGTCAAGAGAAGCCATCTTCAGAGAGGCTACACACTCAGTGTGGGCTGGTGGCAGTACCTGAAACCCAGGTCCGATCCAAGGTGATGGACTCAAGACCTGTGGGGGTGACTTATGTCCAACACTGTGCTTAGTTCCCACCCCATGCCTCCAGCTTGAATCTTTTATCATTTTGATTTTCCTGAAGTCAGCGGGCCACCAGAAGAGCTTGAACTTTGCCAAAGCTAGGAGATCCATAAAGAAATAAATGGCTTGCCCTGGCCAGTGTGGCTCAGTTGGTTGGGTGTCATCCTGTGCACCAAAAGGTCGCTGGTTCAATTCCTGGTCCTGGTCAGGGCATGTGCCTGGGTTTTGGCTCGATCCCCAGTAGGGGGCATACAGGAGGCAGCTGATCCATGTATCATTCTCAGATCCATATTTCTCTCTCTGCCTTCTTTCTCTAAAAATCAATACAAAATCTTAAAAAGAAAGAAGGAAAGAAATGTCTTTTTAGCCCAGCTATGTGACTGTTGTTCCCCAGCAGTGTCCTTGTGAGGGGTGGTGACAGGTCTGCCCTACTGTGGCCATGCTATCACCTCTATCCCTCACGATGGCCCCACAGAGGACCTACCTACAGACCCTTCTGCAAACCAGCTTCTTTACACGTTAGTCAGGGCCATGACTCTGTTTCCCATTCCCCCAACCCTCATGGGCCAGGATCCTCCCTGTACCACGTGGGGCAAGTGGGGAGAGAACTCGGGGTTCCTTGTCTCTGAAGGCTGTCAGCCCAAGTCTGGTGTGTCGCCGTTCAATGTGCACGTTTTAATAAAGGCACCTTGCCGTGCATGAACTTCATTAAAGTCTGGACTCCGTATAAATGACCCAGTCGTGGTGGTGCATGGTACTTAAGCGAAGCGCACACCCATGTTGTTCCTGATAATTGTATTGCATTGCCTTGGCCCAGGCCATCCAAGATGCTCCGTATCTTTCTTAAGAGTGGACGTAGGTTTCTTCTGGAGGTGGTTTCTGGCACTACCTGCAGGGAGCAGAGGTCTCATCCTGTTGCTTCCAAGCAGCTTAGTGGGATTTCTTGGAAGCTCTGTTTTGTAATGTTTTTGCACTGACAGTGGATTTTCTCATGAAGTGACCTATTTGTAAATTTTAAAAAGCTTGGTTTTTTTCTTTGCAGCATCATGGCCAGCCCAAGAACCAGAAAGGTGCTTAAGGAAGTCAGGGTGCAGGGTGAAAACAATGTGAGTCTCTGCTTTTATTCGATGCTTTACTAGGGCTCACGGACCCTCCGGTCATGGCCTGCAGCCTCAGAGCCCACCCTCCCTGCCACCCTTCGGGCTTTTGGGGTCCCTGGGCTCTGCTCTGAGCCACCTGGGCGAGTCGCACATGGCTCTCTCTGCAGGTGTGTTTTGAGTGTGGTGCATTTAACCCTCAGTGGGTGAGTGTGACCTATGGTATCTGGATCTGCCTGGAGTGCTCAGGGAAACACCGTGGGCTCGGAGTGCACCTCAGGTCAGTGCCCTGCTCCTGCTGCTACTTGGCTCCCAGAGGGCCTGCCCTTAGGTGATGGGTGCCAGCAAGGCACAGGCACCTCACCTGGTAGCTCTGTGTGCCTTCAGAGGCCTCATGGCTGGGCGCTTCTGTCACAGGGAGCAGACGCATCTAATCCACAATTTGGGGGTGGGGGAAACTCTTGGACTCCCAACACTTGATAACTAGGTAGATCCTCTGCCTCTAGCTTCGTGCGCTCTGTCACTATGGACAAGTGGAAGGACTTGGAGCTCGAGAAGATGAAAGCTGGTGGGAATGTGAAGTTCCGACAGTTCCTGGAATCTCAAGAGGACTATGACCCCTGCTGGTCCCTGCAAGACAAGTACAACAGCAAAGCGGCTGCCCTCTTCAGAGACAAGGTGAGCCACAAATGGTGCCCAGGCTGTGCTCATCGGGGCCACCCGAGGAGACACGTGGCCTCTAGTTAGCAGGGGTGAAGAATGGGCCTTCCTCCCCACCCCCTGGGAGACTGTGACGTCCACATGCCTCTGTCCATCTTGGTTAAAATACTCCTGAGGACAGTGATGCCTGCCGGGGGACGGAGAGGTGGGTCCGAGCATTTGGGGTTGCAGCCACTGACAGAACTCGTCTGCACCATTGCAGAGGGAGACCTGGTCTCAGTGTTCATGCAAGGCAGAGACCCCCGCCCATGGCCGCTGAGCCCAGGAGTTCACTGGAGCCAACGCTGGCCACAGCTGCCCTGGCAGGTCTGGGCTCTCTGACCTGCATCCCCTCGGCAGGTGGCCACTCTGGCTGAAGGCAGAGAATGGTCTTTGGAGTCATCACCTGCACAGAACTGGACCCCACCCCAGTCCAAGATGCTGCCGACCACTGCCCACCGGTAGCCACTCTGGCCGCTGCTCTCGGCCTGCCCTGACCTTTGCTGTAGATCAGGGTCCTTGTGTCGTCCTAGGAGTAGCTCCAATGTGTGCTCTTCCCAAAGTCAGTGGGAAAACATCTTTTTAGGTTGTAAAACAATACGAGATTTTATTGTCAACCAGGGAAGACATGTCTAAAAGAAAACCTGCCATCTCCCCAGTGCACATCCTTCTAGAATGTGCCCACGACATGCGTACAGCTCCCTCCTGAGGGTTGCCCACCTCCTCAGGGCGCAGGCACGCTGTGGGCAAGCAACCCCATGGTACTCATTCAGCGTCTCACATGTGGGAGGCTGGTGTCTGGTGTGACCTATCTCAGAAGGCTCCCTACTCACGTGGGGGGTACCAGGGTCCACCCCACCTGCTGCCCCTACTTGCTAGGTCCAGGTGCCCCCATTGTTAGGCCCCACCTGTAAGGCTGCACTGTCACCCCTGCTTCTTGTTGCCTTCTGGATGGAGCTGAAGTCCAGCTCGGCCTCCTGTGCTCTGTTCTTGGAGGAGCACAGGTGTGACCAGGTGGTCCTGACAGTACCTCCCAGAGGCCCATGTCCTGCCCAGCAGGTATCTGCTCCCCTTTGGTGGCCGCACCAATCTGTGGCTCCATTTCAGAGTCTCCGGCCAGCCGCAGAGTTTGACTGCCTCCTCGGACAAGGCCTTTGAGGACTGGCTGAATGAGGACCTCAGCTCCTACCAAGGGTGAGGCCCGGGGTTGCTGGGGAGCTGGAGGATCTGGTTGCTCAGGGCAGGACTGCCAGCTCTGCTGTGAGTGGGGTCTGGAGTGGAGAGATGACTAATACTTAAAGGAAAAGAACATGCTTTCATCCTAGGCTTGCCTGGCCTGTGACGGGTTGTCCTGGGGTCATCAGATTACAGTGCTGGCGACTCCTGCCATCCCTGCATGGTGGCTGCAGCCTTGCCACGTGGGGCTCCCTGGCTGGATGCAGCAGGACAGGCTTCAGTGAGCAGCACAGTGGCTGCTGTGTTTCCCTTTCAGGGCCCAGGAGAGTCGCTATGTGGGGTTTGGGAACACGGCGCCGCCTCCGAAGAAGGATGAAGACTTCCTGAATAGCGCCATGTCGTCCCTGTACTCGGTGAGCACACCCATCCTGCTGCAGGGGCCCCCCGTGCAGAGCGCCAAGGCCTCTTAGCGCCCAGGCTGGCCCAGGCAACCTGCGCTGGTCCCTCTCTTCTCCTTCATGGGCGTCTTATGTGTCATTCAGATCCCAGAAGTTTTCACTCATTTACTTACTTTGTCAACAAATATATGTTTCAAGTTAACTAGGCGCATTCCCTCCAAAGAACAAATGTTCTGCGTGGATGAGGTGTAGCTATCTCTCTCCCGGAAGGCTGTTGGCGCCGCCCGACGCAGCCTTTGTCGGTTCTCACATTGCTGTTAGCCAGCCCAGTAAAGACAAGGTTTGGTGGCAGAGGTGATGGTTCTAAGGTGCATGGGCTCCAAGACCCTCTGGGGATGGCCCCCTCAGCCATGCATGGTTCCTACCTGCCCTTGGCTGCTCCTGGTCACCATTGTGTTCCAAGGAACCTTGCACTGTTTCTACAAAATGGTGATGCTTCATCCGAGCATCAGTGTGATAGGAACATTTGCAAACACCCGAGGGCCTGGCCGGGGGGTGCACTTTCTGGTGGTGGGACCAGGTGTTCAAAGTGCCAGGTGCATAAAGCAAGGGTGGACCTGGGTGTCAGTGCCGGGTGACCCTGAGGCTGTCTGTGCTGTGTGTGCATGAAGGAGCTGGAGGAAACTCATGGAAACCTGCTTTCCCACTGTTCCCAGGATCCTGACTTAGTCATGGCAGGAGGCTCACTCTGCCATTCAATACTGTTCTCTTGCCTTGTGCACACACTTACTTCAGGAAGCAATGAACTTAGAGTTATTTCAAACCCACCCATCACCAGTCTCAGCTGGGCCTCGGGGCCCTGGAAGCAGATTTGAAGCTGAAAGCCTGCTGTGTAGGAGTTTCTTTGGAGAGAGGTGCCTGCCCTCCAGAATGTAGTGTTTTGTGTCTTCGTTGTCCCCTGTTGCCCCCAGATCTTTTATTCTTATAGTTCCCTAAGTGAGTGGACCATCTGCTCTGTGTATGGCCCTCTGCATTTCTTCAGGGGTGAAAGGTTGTGGCAGCTTTAAATCAGGTGTTTATATTCCTAAGTGGTTGTCATTTGTCTTGGAGGCTTAGGAGGGAACTTTGAACTTGGACAAAAGAACAGGTTGTAATGGCTCCATCCCCCCAGGGTTAGTCTGTCCAGAGTGGGCGGAGGGCTCCTCCCCTTCATTGGGGAGGTGGGGGCACCGACAGCTGTAAGAGGAGCTTAGGGCGGGACTTGGTGGGGCCGGTGGGGCCACCCTGTGGTCCAGGCCTGTCTCTTTGGAATCCTTCTTGTTGGAGATAGACCTCCTTTGGGAGATGGATGGTGGGTCAGAAAGTGGCTTCCTGGGCAGTTGCATGTGGAACTTTGACGTGGCCTCTGCTCCCTTTTAGGGCTGGAGCAGCTTTACCACCGGAGCGAGCAAGTTTGCCTCAGCAGCTAAAGAGGGTGTAAGTAGTCTGTCCTAGTGTCACCAGGACCCCGGGACCCGCACAGCCTGCCTGGCCTGCAGGGGAGGAGTTGTTGTGAATGGGAGGAGGGCAGGCCCTGGAGCCCAGCATCAAGGGGCTGTAGCCCCATGGTACCACCACTTGGCCGTGTGGCTAGGTGGCTCTCTCTAGGACCTTGTCTCTTAAGGAGAGCTGTGGCTGGGGGTCTGAGTGCCTTTCAGCTGGAGTGTGTGGCCAGACTTTCTTGTTAGAATAGTGATTGGGGCGCTCGGCGAAGTGAGCGGCATCCTGTTGGGCACCGAGGCGGCAGTGGCATGGGCTGGGCTGTGGAAAAGCACATTGAAGGTGGGATTGGGGTGGCGCCTCTGCACCAGTGGGGCCCTGTGTCCCAGAGAGTGAGTAGGGACAGTTCGCCCAGGGCCTGGTGTGCTGGGCAGCTTTGCTGAGCACCCAGAGCCACTGCAGGGTGAGCCCTGGTGCCTCAGTGGCATCAGCAGGCGGGCCTAGGACAGCGTCTGTGAGCTTGGGAATGCAGCCGGTGGCCATTCAGGATGGTGGTCACAAACCCCTTTTGTTTCCTTCCAGGCTACAAAGTTTGGATCCCAGGCAACTCAGAAGGTAACAGGAAGCTTCTGTGCCCTGTGCTCTATTACATTCCTAGTTTGATGTCCTGTCGGGTGTCTGATGCGCCCTGGTGTGCCCTCCAGGCCCTGCGCTTTGGGAGGGGACAGTGCTGTTGTGCAGCCTGGGCACTGACAGGCCCGTGTGTGTGGATTTGTCTCCCAAGCTTATGTCAGTGTGCATTACTTCAGGTGCCCATGGATTTGGCAGGTAGGGTAAGAGGCTGTACCTGCTTAGGGCCTGTGGGATTGAAATCATTGCCCTGCCCATCGCTGCTGGATGCTGGGCAGCCACAAGGCCACTGTGGAGAGATGCCTTGTCAAGAAGGAGCAGGCTGGCGCTGCTGGGTGGGACGAGGTTCCGTGTCTCTGAGCCTAGGCTGTGTCTCCTGAGCTGGCACTTCCTTGGGACCATGGGGCTGACCTCTATCCCCCACCAGCACCTTTTCTTCCTGTAGGCTGAGGTCTCGGGCCTCAGCCCTTTTTTCTTCAGATCTTGGTTAGTGGTCCCTGCAGTCCGTAGGAGGTGCTAGGGCTTTGGGCTGACCTATTATCCCAGGCTTGGGGGTCAAGTCTCAGGAGGGCATTGGCCACAGAGCTGTCCCAGGTCCTGAGTGAGGAAGGGGTGGCTTCTTCCCCACCACTGGGGGCCCTAGCTCTGCTTCTCTAAGCCCCTGACTTCGGGCCCCTGAATCCCTCGCTTACTCGGTTCTGGAACGTGGTCAGTTGGGAGTGGAAAGCAGTCAGGTTCAGTGGCAGTGAAGGCTCCAAGGTCACTTCAGGGCCTCATCAGGGTGATGCTAGTGACGCATTGCAAGATGCGTCCTTCCGGTGGTGCCTGTGCTGCTCTACTGCCTTGCTCTCTCCTCTCTCTCCCCATGCGGTCCCCATGCTGCTGGGTAAAGTTCTGGGGTTCCAAGCAGCAGCCGGAGTTGGTAAGGCCTGCGTCTGCCCTCAGAGTGCCACTTCGTCTGCTGGGCCTTTGCTGTGCTCCGTGCTGTCTGCATGCTGTGGCCTGTCTTGTGCCTGTGCTTACGTGTGCTCACACCCAGAGCTGTTCACTCGCCTGTGCATGCTGCTTGGGGACCCTCACTTCCTTTGTGACCCAGAATGCAGTGGGCGCTGATGGCCTGGGAGCCACTGGAGCTACTTGGCAAAACTTTCATGATATAATTGCCTTGAACCAAACACTCCAAAGGTGTCTTAACCCAGGAGTGAGGTCCTGACACCCATTCTGCCTTCAGTGCCCTTTCTCATAGCTCCCCACCATCCCGCTCTGCCTGCACCTGATTGGTCTTCTGGTTCTGCCCCTTCAGCCAGCTCCTGAAGGAGGGCAAGTGGGGCTCATGCTCAGCTGCTGAGGATGTGCCCCCTGCACCTCGGGGGAGCATGTGACATGACCTGCTGTTGACACAGGGGCTGTCCTCACCCAGCAGGATCCACTGGGCTCTGAGGGGGAGACCCCGGAGGTGACAGCTGGACAGGGTGGACCTGAGGGCTTATGCCGTCGCTGGGCCCCTTCCTGTAAGACTGCGTAGTTGGGGCCAACGGGTCCGGTCTCCTTGTGGGCAGGGTGCTCGGAGACACTTTTGTACAGTTGCTGTGAGAGCATGGGGTGTACCGTGTGCCAGTGGGCTGCCTGCTGTCACTGTCCGCAAGGCTGGCAGCCGCTGTGCTAACCCTCACCCAGGAGCCCCCCGACTTCCCTCTCATGGTGTCTGTTCTTCACGCAGGCATCAGAGCTGGGCCACAGTCTGAATGAGAACATCCTCAGACCTGCCCAGGAGAAGGTAACAGGCCACCTCCCAGTGCTGGGCACTCCAGCTGTGCTCTTCCTCTCTCCTATGGACCTTGTCCCTGGGGTAGCTGGTACAGTGGGGGGCTGTGCTGCCTGTGTTCCCCCCTGTGTCCCTATGTGCTCCCTTTGTCCCCTGTGTTCCATGTTCCCGCACACTGCCTGTGTTTTCCCCGTGTTCCCCTGTGCTCCCTGTGTTCCCCTCATGTCCCTCTGTCCCCACGTGCTCCCTGTGTTTCCCATGTCCCTTCATGTTCCCCATGCTTTCCCAGTGTCCCTATGTGCTCCCCTTGTCCCTGTGTGCTCCCCGTGTTCCTCCTACTGTGTCCCCACATGCTTCCCTTGTCCCTTGGGCTCAGTGGGGCCTGGCCTTGCACTCTGCTTCAGAGGGGTCCTCTTCTCCTGGGGCCGGTGGTGCAGAGGAGGCCCAGACTGGGCAGAAGAAGCTCTCAGTGGGGCTGGGGATTTGGGGGGCACTGCCACCTCTCCTCAGGAGATTGTGGGAGATGCACAGACCACCAGGGAGGACACAGTGTTAGGCCAGTGTGGAGGCAGTGTCATTGGCTCCCATGCCTTCCTCCCTGTCACTTCTGGAGTTGTGTCTCAGCGGGAGACAACACAGCTGCCGTGGTGGTGGCATTCTTTGTCAGGAAAGGTGGTGGGCTTCTGCCCCTTGGTTAACAACACTGTTTGATCCATGCAGGTGAAGGAGGGAAAGATTTTTGATGATGTGTCCAGTGGGGTGTCTCAGTTGGCATCCAAGGTAGGGCCCCCGCCGACATGCGGGCACAGTTGGAGCTGGTCTCCACATTCCGGGCACTGGCACCAGAGCTGTAGGGCTGGGTACTCGTGCTCCAGATCACTTCTGTAGCTGAGGGGTCCTGGGCTGCTTCTGCCCTGTAAGGTGTTAGAAGGGTGGGCAGGTGCCCTGCTGCCGACAGCTGGCGGGATGTGGAGAGAGGTCTGTGGGCTGCACAGCTGCCGACTTGTCGCTTCTCTCCCTTCTGTCCTCTCGCTGTCGCTGGGCCGTCCCCTGGTGAGTGTTGACTCTGGGTGTGCTGGGGACACCCCTCTCTACCTCACTGCCGGGGCGGGGTGTTCATGTGCCTGTGGCCCTGTTTCCTGTGCCTGCCAGCGGCCCACCTGCCAGCAGACCTGTCTGGGTGAACAGTGGTGCTGTAGGGACGGCTATGCTGCTGCGTTTTGGGGCTCTGCTGGGTCTGAGCAGCAGGCAGTTTGCGTGCTCCTTGTCTGAGCCTGGCTGAGCCACATCCCTGTCCTCCTCCAGGTCCAGGGAGTTGGCAGCAAGGGATGGCGGGACGTCACCACCTTTTTTTCTGGGAGGGCCGAGGACCCCTCAGACAGGTATCTGATGTGGCCCCCCTCCCTGGGGCTTTCCCCACAGGGTCTCTCTGAGGCATTCGGCACCCCCAGGAGTCCAGGGGCCTGGGGGTCCTAGAGGAGGCCCAGAGGTGCAGAGGCTGGATGGTGGCCCCTCGTCCCCCTCGCCCTGACGTCCTCCCGTTGACCCTGAGGGACTGCTGCTGCCCAGGGCTGAGGGGAGTCTCAACCCATCTCCAGGGGATGGGCCAAGGGGGAGCAGGAGGCCTAAAGAGGAGGGCAGTCGGGCCCCTTAGTGGCCTTGTCCCCTGACCCTGGTGCTCACACTCTGCACTCAGGCTCATACCTGGGCCTTCCTGCTGGAGCCCAGTCTGCCACCCTTCTCTTTCTCTGACCCACAGGTAGACCCTTGGGGGAACCCTGAGGGTTTGGTGGGGAGATGGCTGTGGCTGGCCCTGGTGGGCAATGTAAATTCCCTCCTGATGGGACATCTTTCCCTTGCCCACGGGCTGAAGGCCACTGCTTGCTTGTAGATGTGCTGCATGGTGTTTTCAGTGGTGTGACTGCGTTTTGGGTGGGGGCAGCCTTCGTCCTGGGCCGGCTGTCTGGATAGTGCGAGGGGCTAAATGCTCTGGGTTTTCTCTTACGTTTCTTCGAGGTGCCCCCCATTCAGTGGGCGATGGAGCGTGGGCTCTGGCGCAGGAGGCCTGTCTGCGTCTCTCCAGCAGGCGCCGTGCTGGAGCCACACTGAGCCCTGGCTTCCTCCACTCTAGAGTGAGCCGGTCCTGGGCCCCGTGGGGGGGTCCCAGTTCTCAGGGGAGGTGCTAAGGGAAGGCCCGCTCTTGGGAAACAGCTGTTCAGAGCCCCCCTCTTTCCAAGACCCCTAGAGGGCCAGAGCTACCAGAACAGCGGCGGGGACAACTCCCAGAACAGCGCCCTGGACCAGAGCTTCTGGGAGACCTTTGGGAGCACCGACCCTGCCAAGGCCCACAGGTCCCCGAGCAGTGACAGCTGGACCTGCGCCGATGCCTCAGCCGAGAAGCGGAGCTCAGACAGCTGGGACGTGTGGGGCTCCGGCTCTGCATCCAACCACAAGAACAGCGACAATAGTGATGGCGGGGAGGCCTGGGGGGGTGGCGGGGAGGGCCGGCCCAAGACCACCAGGAAGGCAGCTCCAAAGGCCCTTCAGGTGGATGAGGGCTGGGACAACCACAACTGGTAGGCCCTCCGTGCCTGGCCCCGACCACTGGGGCAGCCACCCTGTCGGTACTTTGCCCTCCTCCAGCACCCTCCTTCCACTTGACCCAAGAACGCCTTGGGTGGGACTCTTGCGGGGTGGTGCCCCCTGCCTATGTCGGGGACTAAGCGCATGGGGGCTTGCTCTCCATGCCAGCCTCTGCCCAGCCCTCCGGTGTCTTGTGCTCCAGGATTCCAGGCACTGTGGAGGGCAGGGTCCTGTTGCTTGTTGGAGGCTGGCCGTGCACTCAGTAATAAACACCCTCTAGGGCTGCCCGGAAGGCACTCTCTGTGACATGACGTGAGTGCTGGCTCTGTGAGTGTCTAACTTTCTGGATTTGCTGTAGTTCCTTTATAGAGAAAATGCCCAAAGTTTTAGAGACAAATATCAAAAGCAGCACCAGTGCTCCCGCTGCCTTCTGCCCCCCCCCCCACTTGAGGGCCTC